AGGTAGGTATTAAAAATATATTGGAACATCTTAAAATTACCAGCCTTACCAGTGGAAATAAAATGATGGCAATTAAAGGTAATAAAGGTTATTAATAGTTAGGGCCTTGGAGGCTAAGAAGTCATGTTAGACTGTCAATTGTTTTCCCGTGGTGGGAAATCAGTTAGAAATTAAAAAAAAAAAAAAAAAAAGTCTAGTAGTTTAGTGATGGTCAAAGAAAGAGTCAGTGGGGATGGGGAGGTTTCAGCAACATGCTGGTAGAAAAAGAGAGACTTACATAGTCTGGGAGGGCAGTGAAATGGAAGGCGTGGTAACCTCGCTCACTTAGTTGTCATTTTTGATTTTCAATGACATATTTTTCATTCTTTCGCCTAGTAAAGATGACAGAAGGTCCTAATTTATTATCTGATGTCTATTCCTGTTCCTAAATTTAAGAGAGTTTAACTGTATACAGTCATATAATCCAAATACAGACACTTTGAAAAAAACTAGAGCATCGATGTTGCATGCATTCAATTGTACTTCTAAGTGCATCCACAAACCACAGGTATGAACTGGGGGGTGGTGGGGTGGAGGGAGGCGAGGCGGGGAGGATCAGCCTGCAGGGCACAGCCCAGGCAACTGAGGGGGACGGGGGCGGTGGATTTGCAGGTTCCACAGATTAAAGCAGAACAGAGGGGATCATCACAAAGAGCTAAGTGCTTCCTGAAATGATAGGAGCCATGGATTCTAGAAGAATGCAGAATGAAAGTCCTCAGCATGGCGGGGTTGGTCCATGTATCCTCTATGCACAAAAAGAGCTGGTCAAAATATCCGTGACTCGCCACAAAAGATAGTCGCTACATCAGATGCCTTTTCCTGCTGAGGTTAGGCTGCATTTGCCATGACCAGGGAAATTTGCATCGACACATTTTATAAACATGACCTGGCACGATCGTTTGGGCTTGGCGGAAGGGAAGAAAAGTGCAGTGTAAATTTCTGTTTCTGTACATAAATCATACCATGACCAGATCAGATTAGGCAATGCCATGGAGCCGCCCTGACATTTCCTTTCGCTTCCCCTTTCTGGGTACACTTCATGTGTTGGGCTGGCGTGAAGGTGCTCAGCAAGTATTTGTAAATAAATAAATGAAGAGACTGCATAAATTAAGTTCTGTGAAGAAAACTACTCAAATGGCAAAAAGCCCTTGCTTGTTCTACAGCTGATTTGTGCATTTCAAGGAGCATGGACGGGGTATTAAAAAGCATAGAAAAGAAAAAAAAAAAAACTAGAGAAGACTCTTCATAAGAGGGAAGGGAAGGCATCAAAGGAGCAGGAAATAACACTGGGAAAAAAACCAAATAAATGATTTAATGCCAAACTCATCTGCCGGCATTGCAAATGCTGATCAGTAGCAAAATACGGGAATTCGGATTTCAGTTTTCTAGTGGCAAATATCACATCTGTTCATCTGGCCCCATACAAATACTTTCCTATCCTCATGAATAACCTCAAGGAGATTCTTTGATAAGTGCATGATATTTATTCCATTTATTTTTAAAGAAACTATCTCTGGAGAAAGTTTAAAGTCAAAATGTGTATGAAATTTAGCCAAAATTATTCAATACACAATGAACCATCCAAATAATGTTTCGTCAGTTTCCATACGTATGTACTCATTGGACTATGTTTACTCTGAAAAACAAATCTTCAGCAAAAGACCTTTTAACTATACTAGAAAAGATTATTATTTATGAAGCAGAGAGAATCATCTTAGTTCAATTAAAATTATTAAAAATTGAGGTATCATTAGCATAAAAATATTGATGAGTAGCTTCCAGCTTTGGGACTCCCTTCACCGTGAGCTAATCTAACTATCCGATCGTTTATAGCATGTTACTATAATGAGAACACAGAAAAAGAGGAGGAAACTCTGTGCACCCAGCTCATCAGCATGCAACTCCAGGGTAATCCCTCCCTCGGAGAAAACACACAGATGAGTCAGCAGAGAGCCACATTCTTTGGTTTTTCAAGGCTAACCTCCTCGCCTGAATGAGAACCTGCCTGTGCCGTCAACAGGAAGTCAGCAAGCTGCTGCTGGAGGGACTCGCTTGCATTTTCCAGGTCCCTAACGCATGTGGATTAGAATGCATCGAGTCCTCCTTGCTGAGAGGCCCCCACCGGTCTAGCTGCTAGATCATCTGGTTCTCCTCTCTGCCTGAGCTGCAGTACATATGGTTCTGTCTGAAGAAATGTAAGGACAGTGCATGCAGAAATGTCAGGACTTGGCAGGGTCTGGTGAGAAATTGTTCTTCAGGGTGTTGGCTTCTCTGAAATTATCAGTGATGACTATCAAGTGTATCGATGACAAGACCCCCATACTGAATTGGTTGCTACTCTCAGCTGCTTCTGCTTTACCTGATGAGAGAAGGAAATGCTCATGTTGATATTGACATCGCCAGTGCAGAAGCGCACCCACCCAGCAACCTGAAACTCTTCTCAGGTTTTCCTGTTTGTTTGTTTGTTTGGTTGGTTTTTTAAACACGCTTCAAACAATTAAATTGCTCAACATTAAGGGCACAAAAGCAAGCCCCGGGAAGCCCAGATGCTTTGGGATTCCTTTCAGGCACACACCTCACTCTGCATTAGGACAAAGAGCAGCCATGACCATGGGCTCCTGTTCACAGGCAACTTCCGGCTTCTCCTGTCTAAGGAGAAATGTGTGGCCCTGTGTTCCTGCCAAGCGAGGCCTGCAAAAGCTGGCTGACCTAATTTAAAATACGAGCTCTCGTTGAGCTCTTGTTGCATGAAGCCCTTCCAAGCATTAGCTATTTTTGTTTGTTAGTTCAGTTCTTATTTCATAAAAAGTCACCCATCTTTGCTCTACCCCAGTGACCTGCATCCTCTCCTTTCCCAAAACACGTGGCTTCTCCTCAGAGCCTCTGCCTTAATCACTTTTATTTGTGGGACACCAGGGAGGGGATGGTAGTGCTTAGGGTAGGGAAGAATATAGCTCTTTAAAAAATTATTCTTATTATGATCATGTTTAGATGAAATATGGGGCTTGCCATCAACAAAATTACAAAACAATTCCACTGGGAATCCAGACTGTTCAGGGTAATTCATCTATGAAAAAGCGAACTTTAATTGTTACTCTTGGCAGCAAGCTAAGAGAAGAGTGAAATATTATACTAAATATTGCCACGTGCAAGAGTAAAATGCTCTTTCCTCCTTGCCAGAGCACTTCATAGCCCCCTTCAGACTCAGGTTGGGACCTGGGGAGTTAGTCTAAATCCTCTGTTTCCCCCCTCTCCAAAACCAACAGAGGTTTTCAAAAGAGTTGCGTTTTTTATTAGAACCATTTGCTCTTTTTAACTTGCCAAAAAGGAATAAGTAAAACTAAGACTTTTATTTGGGTTAAAGTTGATTCCTCAGCTTCATGGAGGTCAATGTACTTAGTCTGTGAACCTTCTGCTAAAAAGTTCACTGCAGCGCACTGAACCAGCCAAGGTTATGTTTTGGTCCCTTCTTCCCCCTCCCCAGACCCACCTCCCAGCCTCATGGATTTAGACAATAAGAGCTGGGAGGGTGTGGAGGCTAAATCAAAATGAAACACACCTATGGCAAAGTACATCCTGGGTTTTCTCCAACAACTGAAATTTCACATATTTTTGATGCCACATGTAACAACTGCAATTTTGGGATCAAGTGTCTTGACTTGGGCTTCAAACAATGCGATCCCAAAAAGAATTTACAACTCTTTATATTAAAAGCTCATTGAACACTGCTGCATTATATAGTCTAAGAGTAAGGAGAGGTGTCTCATACTACTCAAAAGCAGAGGGATACTTTCTAAACATGGAGTGAAGTCTTCAGTGAAGATGTTAACCAAAGAAATACTTTATATGACACTGGTTATCTGGTATATTTGGCTAAGCATGAGACTATAATTGCAAGTAATTTTAAAAATTACATTTTACATTTCTGGCATGGGTATATGCATACACTGGGTAGAGTTCACTAAAGATGTATTAAAATCATATTTAAGAAATCATATGTAGATAATATTATTCAGCTTCTAAAATGTTTAAGATGGGAAAGTTAGGGCCCAAAATACTTAAATGACTTGCCCAGAATGATTCGACATGTTACCAAAGATCTGGGGACCAGAACATCAATTATTAAGTCACTATTCCCTGTGGTACGGGATACTCGTTTTCATCCATAGGGATATATAATGATACCAACATTACTTGGGAGTAAATTTAAGTCTGCAGATATGACCAAGAGTAATCTTTGCTGTAACAGTATTAGTGGATGAAAATTTAAGTCATGTGAAACTTTAGGACATCTGCCTTATATAAGTAATTTTTTTATTATAACGTATGTTATGGATGATGATAAACAAACTGCCCACTATTAGTAAGACACTTTGAGGGAACTATAATCCTCAGCCATGGGAAAAACAGGCAGCACTTATGATATGATGTGCATAAGTGTATAAAGACTGTATGTTTTAAAGCTTCAGAAGCACTTTTCATTCATATAAAGTAATGTCTTAGAGTTAGCTGTTTGTGGAATTTTAATAAAAAACAAAAACAAAGCAAGCATGGCTGGGAACTAACAGTGAACAAAATACACCAGTCATTACTGAAATGGAAGTAATCACTATAGAAGATGAGTACGTTCTACACACATCGTGACAAACACCACTCAGATAACCAATGACAGCAATCACAAACTAATGAGAAGCCCCATAGGTCGACTATACTTGGTAGTTGGTTGTCTTTTAAGAAATTGACCTATGATGTGGGAAGCCAAAGAAATCTGCCTTTTATGTGCTGTTTGAATTTAAAAAAGAAAAAAATCAATCTGCGTTTTAGTTACTCAAAGAGCCAGCTCTGTGTGTCAGCACACAATTTCAAGTTTCTTTGGAGGGATTCTACTTCTGGCTCTCCATTTAAAATGGGGGAAAAATAAAAATATTTTGCCTGTGACAGAATATGAAAGAAGTTCTCACCCTTAAAACCAGCAGCATTGGTTTTCCAGTCATTAGCGTTCAAATGTCCCGCACGGGAAGTCCTGACAATAACATGCTGCACGTCTCTCCAGGTCAGAAACGGACTGGGGAAAGACAAGGTAAGAATCATTGTACCAAAAAAAAAAAAAGATGGGGGAAGCAGAGAGTCACAAGCAAATTAAAAAAGCAAAAGCAAAATGGCAAAGTACTAAAAACAAAGGGTCAGTGATTTGGGTTTGGGGCTGAACAGAAGCCAAATGCCGCTCTGGTTCTTTCTCAACGTGGAGAAGTGACGTTAGTCTGAGGGAGGCAGAAAATGTAACCTTGAATTTCGGAAATCATGTGGGATTAGTCGGCTGTCACTCAGTTTTTTAAAAGGGTGAGGATTTCCAGTTTCCTCAACAAAATGGCTCCCAATTCTGGCCTGGTCGTCCTTTGTGTAAAAGCTTGCATCAACATCTGAAAATTACTATCACCTAAAGTCAAAACCAAAGTCTTCTGGAACATTCCTCGTCCAGCTGTATCGCCAGGTAGTTGATTTGTAATTTAACAAAGAACTTAGTATTCTGCGTGTATGTATGGGATATAGAAAAAAACCTCAACTGAACCGAGTCCCCAGGTGTCAATGCTCTCAAAGAAGGAGAATTCGGTACAGAGCTCAAAGCTGGGCTCCAAGACACAGCTATGGGGGTCCCCTTAATCTGCAATAAGTAGTTATTATAATAAATTATTGGACACCTACTTCTTGTGATTGTTAGCACTGAAGAGCACAAAGACATTGAGCAGAAGTCCCTTTCATTGGAGAACCACAATACCACTCATAAACATATAGAAAACAAATCCAGTTACAGGTGCACAGACTTCTGTTCTCTTTCAAAGAGTACGTATACACTGGAAGGCATTTGACTCAATGCGCGCATGAAATTCTCATCAAGATACCTCTTCATTTTAGTCTCGAATGTCAGGTGTTACAGTCTTTTACTTAACTGGGAAATATGGCAGTTATCACGCAGCCTGGGTAGCTAATTCTGTTTCTCGTCCTCCACCTTAATTTTAGAAGGATATTTGCCAAGCCTGGGTCAGAACATTGAAGGGAGGGGGATGATAATTTGCTACCTTCCTTGAGGTATGACAGGAGCACGTGGCAATCCCTATGGCCCCCCATATGTGCGCAGATGGACGTGGGCATCTCCCAGGCAGAGGGAAAACCTGGTATCTTAATTATAGCTGATTTTCAATGATGGAACAGCACACTACTTTACTTTATACTGTGTTTCCCCATCACATTTGCCACACACGTGTTTTTGAGAGTGAACTCCCAGCAGAGGGGGTCCAGTGATCAGATTCTGGCCTTTTCTTTTCCTACTTAATGTGAAATTGACTTCTCAAGGTTTCAGCTTCCCCATTTAGCATGTGGATGCTAATATCTACTTTATTTCATTGTAATGATTGAATGAAAGTGACACCATGAACTTAACCTAGTTCCTGGTGTGAAATAAGCCATCAAGAAGTGGTAGACAGTACAATATTCTGCTAAGTTTTGAGCCACGGCTCCCATGTGGTGGCTTGAACATGAAGGGGATGGGGAGAGAAAAGTACTAAAGAGTTCCGATACCACTTCGCTATGCCCTTAGATTAAAAATAAAGAGAGACAGTACTGCCATTTCCAAAGAGGGAGTGAGATTGGATGTAGACTGTTTTGTAAGGTTGCATTCACAACGTAACGTATACTAAGGAAATTGAAACCCAACCTCACGAATTTTAAAAATGTAAGAACAAGGGAACCAGATTTATTTCTGTTTGGTTTTACACAACACTTGTTAGGAACCAAACCACAGTTTAGAACCTAATAATGCACAAAATTCTGGAAAGGGAGAGAGGTTGTAGGATGGGGCCCAGGAGGTGGGTAAGTTTTGTTTCTAAAACAAATAGCATGATTTGGCCCTTTGCTGATTGATACTGAATCCACATAATAATTCAGTAGAGTGCTCGCACCATGGTCAGAAAAATTAGGAAAAGAGTCAAGGGATAATTCTGAACACTACGGTCACCATGTTTTTCCTGATCTGCCTGAGGTGTAATGCTCATCTCCTCTTTCCCAGGGTAGTTCTTTGGGTGAGGGGCAAAAAGCAACAACAGAAAAGCCCAGTCTTGCAAGACTCTCCAGCCACTTATTTATGGTACAGCAGAATCCTCTCAAATAGACGCACGTGTTTTTGTTTTGTTTTGTTTTGTCTGTTTTTTCATGAGCAACCAGCAAGACACCTAAAAGTACACCTGGATTTGATAAATATGTCTAAATCAACCTAATGAGTTTAAAATAACATTTAACACACAGCTAAAACGTCCACATTTTAAATATTATTCTTTATAGAAAACCAAAAAAAAAAAAAAAATGGAAAAGAAAAAGAAACGAAACAAGTTTCTATGTTACTTATCACCAGGGCAAGATTCCTTTGGAAACATCAAGCACAGGGTCTGACCATCAGGAGACCATTTCCCTAGTGACCCTTAGCACTGATAATATAACAATGATGATGATGACAGAACAGGGACCATTTATCTCGAGCCTTAAGCAGTTGTATTCAGGCCGATTCAGGAAGCCTCTGCATTCAAGTCAGCCTGAACAAACGGGAGTTACTTGCTCTCATGCTGGGTTGTAGAAACTAGCTCTTCTTGGAGTACATGTAATTAGAAGGAAGAAATTAGCTTCTGGAAATTGAAACTGTGCATGGAAAAAATGCGGCATGCAGGTGATTTTACTCTGACATTTGATAATGCGCAAGTTCAGAAATCATTTAATTTCAAAATTTCCTGAATTTCGCCAAAATAAAGTGAGGAAGTTAATACGGGAAACCAAGGGCATTTTGCATCCGTGGTGTTTCTACCCATGGGAGGGTAACTAATTATTGGCTCAGGAAATAGCCATAGGTTAATTTGCTAGTATCCTGGGAGGACTTGTATTTAGGAGGAAGTCTGATTCACATTTTATGACCTATTTGTATTGATGTTGCAGAAGTGAAGGAGTCAGACTATGAAACTTCTGGTATGCCATATGCACAGTGAAAGGAAAAAGAGAAGGCTGTATGCCCTGTGCTGGGAACTTTCCAGGCCACAGTGGTAAAGTAGGACCCCCTAAAACGGACCCCCTTCTGCCAATTACCCTGGAGCCATACTCCACTGGCTTCTGAATACCAAGTCCCCTCTCAGCTCCAAGAACAGAAGACGGAGCACCAAGCACTTTGGGGGCAAACAATAACCAAGATGCCACGAGTATAACCGACCTGGAGGAAAGGAGCAGCTTCTCTCAATTCTGAGCCTGGGGACCACTGAGCCCATTAAAAGCCACAGAATTTAGGCCACATACCCCTTAAGTTTCTCTCTGGAATTATTGACAACTACCTTTAAACCACAATATACGCTAGAAGGGTAACATTTATAAATGCCCGCGAAATGTGGCTAGCAAGCTATGAACTTTCAAGGCAATAAAACATACATGATTTTCCGGGGGAGTTCCAGAGGTGCAATATTTTCCTGTTAGGAAGGTTTGCACCGTTTAGGGGCTTCAAGTTAATAACCAATATTAAATGAGCACTTGGCCAGGGCCAAGTAGTGCGTGTTGTACATCATTATCACTGTGTAATCTTAAACATCATATGAACATAGGTAATGGTTTTATCCCCATTTCACAGATGGAAAAATGGAGACTCTTGAGTTATACACAGTAACTCCAGTACACACAGGTAGTTAGCGGTAGAGCTACAATTCAAACCAGCTGCACCTGGCAGGTTGCAGATCCTATGCTATCACTTACTATTTAACGCCATTTCCGGATGGACCCCCGAAAGTGGAAAGGACATACACGCAGTGGTGCATCAGGTGGCTCTTTGACAACTGGATCAGGAGGCCAAGTGTAGCATGTCATGTCCTCGCGGTCACACCATTTTTGTACCTGCCCTGTGTCTCTCAACTCAGTTGGCCGATTTTTGTTTGCCACCGAATTCAGGAGACTCTCAAGTCTTAATTTGGGTTTTAGGTTCCAAAGGCTTAACTTTGGCACACTCTATCAAAGGTAAATGGAAAGATACCAAACTAGGACATATCAGATTATTTTTATAACATAGTATCATATGCTTCTACTGTAGGCCATAACATTATGTTCTTTAACATTATGGTTATGAACTTGCCACCCTGCTTGACATGCTCACACTCTGATGTGGCTTATCCTCGGGCTGGGTAACACTTCTCCAGTCAGGGGAGCTCATATGAACCCCATCTCAAACAATTCTAGTTTCCAGCAGCAAAAACAGGATAATTAATGCCACGACCACTACCTGGTGTTCTATTTTTGTTCTGAGCCGCTCAAAGTATTTCATGGCCCCAACAGTAGATTTAGGCGGAGGAGGACATATCCCAAGAAAGACATTTTGTCTAGTACTTCTTGTTAGGCTCCTAAGTTCAACTGCTAGCACTTAAATGAAACAAAACAAAACAAAACAAAACAAAACAAATTTTCTCCCCATGAGTTTTCTCAGCTAGTCTTGCACATGTGTGAACCGTTTGAAATCAATCTGTACTTGGAGGTCCTTAAAAAACAAGGACCAATTTTGGAGCCTGAGTGGCTGACTCACCTGCATTTATTAAAAAGAAACAAGAAGTAATCTTCCCCGCCCCCAAGCCCCAGATGGATCTATCATCACAGGCAGTTAAAAGGCAACCGATACAAGGGACAACACATACACATCTTGGTACAGAAAGAGAATTTATCAACATGAGCAGCAATAGCAGATCCAGATAATGAAAACTGTTTACTGAACAGGGCAATCTTCTTTACATTCAAGAGCGATTCTATCTAATGCAATGATGAGCAATTTCATGAACCAGTCCTATGGGGAAATTGCACAACCCATCAGCCATCATCCAACTGACTAAATATTCAACAAAAAAATCCGAGACAAAAACCAGTCTCGTTTTATGTTACTTAAGACTGTGTAAAGTAGAAATGGGAACAAGTAGCCAGAAAATTAATGTCATTGTACAGATGCTAAATAAATTGGCAATTATGGGGAAAGCTCACCCATTGTGAGCTAGAGTAAGAAAGATG